ATTATTATTATTATTATTATTATTATTATTATTTTCCCAGTTTTATATAATCAAGTTATTTTTGTCTTTTTTTTTTTGGTTGCGTTTTCCTTCTTTCCTTTCTTGTTTCTCTTTCCCCTGTTAACAGTTTACCTTTTTTCTTTCTTTCTTTTTTCTTTTTTTTTTTTACTTTATCCGTTCGTAAGCTCTTATCATCATTTTCCCTTATAATGACTCTACACCTGTGTGTATATGTGAGTTTATATCTCTCTCTATATATATATATATATACTTCTGCCTGCTAACGTATTTAAACAGAGAAAAGAAAAGAAAAAAAAAAGAAAGTAGACAAGAAGTGTACGGAAGTAATTTTTGGTCTTTTTTTTTTTCTTTTTCTCTCTATAAAGGGAGGGATGATATTAAGCAAGTGAATGGAATTAAGAAAAAGAAAAAAAAAACAATAGTTATAATGAATAATAGTTGTTTTTTCTTTTTTCTTTTTTGTTGTTGAAGTGCCATCTTTCCCATGGTTTTTTTCTTTATCTTCTTGTTACTGTTATTTTTCGCATCATTATCAGCAAAAACGGGATAAAGATGTTTTTCTCCTTTTTTTTAAAAAAAAAAGTTTTTATATATTTATATACGAGTTTTTTTTTTCTTGGTTTTCCTTTTTTATTCCTTCTATATTTTTCTATTCCTCTCTTTATTCATTTGCGATTTATTAATTATTATTATTATTATTAATCCTGATGTCTTTTTTTTTTTTCTTGGTTTTCCTTGATGCCCATGATCTCTCTGTGCTTTACTTCTTACTCTTGCTATTGGCAGTGTTCTACACCCACATGCGGAGATAAACACAATAAGTGACTGTGCTTATTATTCACGGAAGATAGAAACACAGAAAATATTTTCCTTATTTATTTATTTATTTATATATATATATATATATGTTTATATAAGTATACCTGCTGATATATATTTCTGAACGTGTTATATATTACTGTATGTATATGTATCAGGTTTATTATTTTATTTGCATGTATTTATTTATTTTAGTTATATTTACATTTCCTGTATATAAATTATGTGCTAATATATATATATATATATATATATATCTTTCCTTTTTTTTTTTTTGGCTACTTTACTTTGAGCTCTGTCCACCTTATAGATAAATAGATATATATATATATATATATATATATATCTGTTTACGTGTGTACTGGCTCCATCCAAAGCGAGGCAAATCTACGTTTTCCACCTCCATCACCACCAAAGAAGTAAAATAAAATCGAAAAGTAAAGAGTACAAGCAAATTCTTGAATTTTACAGTTTGGGGTTCCCATTAGTGGTGTCCTCTTCTTTTTTTTCTTTTCTTTTTTTCTTTTTTGTTTGCTCGCATTGGATTCAGTTTTCTCTTTATTTTCGTTGCGTGTTTATGTTTATGTGTGCCAGTCTGGGGTGCTGCGAGATCCCCACAACACACGATGAGTTCGCTGTACATCTGCAACTATACATACACAGATGAATAGAGAGAAAGAAAAAGAGAAAGAAAATGTCTGTGAGTGTATATATATATATATATATATATATGAGAAAGAGAAAGATGTACTTGGTGTATATGCACCTGTGGGATTCTCTTGTTGTTAAGGTGTGTGTTTTCTCTGTTTTTTCATCTCTTTCGATTTATTTGACTGTCTTTTTTTTTAGGTATTATTCATTTGTCTCCGTTTGTATTTTTTTTTTCTCTTTCTCTTCTCTTTCTCTCTTCTCTTTATCTATCTATCTATATATATATATATATATATATATACAAAATAGAACGAAGTGTTCACAAAAGGGGTGGTTGGGGACTCTTTAGCTCCACAAGAGCGTTTTGTGTGAAAGGGAGAAGTGAGGAAAGTTTTTTTTTTTTTTTCTCTGCATCCCCGAACAGAATAGTAAAAGTTTGAAAAGAAGTAAGAAAACACCCGGAAAAAATAAATACGAAGTGAACGAAAGAAGGAATAAAAAGAAAAGAATAAAAAAGAAGGAACACCGAGTACAACTGAGGAACGAACGGAGAAAGCAAGAAAAAAAGAAAAGGTCAGAATAATAGCAATAATAAAAAACAAACACAATTCGCAACAAGTTAAGAACGAAAAGAGAAGAATAAAAAAAAAAAAAAAAACGGTAGAGAAAGGAAAGAAAGAGAAAAAAAAAAAATAAGAGAGAGAGAGAGAGAGAGAGGGAGGAATCATTATCATCATCATGTCAGAAAACAATAATATCCTTCCTGCTCAGTCTACCATGGTGAAAGTAAGTGTGAGAGAAAACGTATTGGCGGCGGTAGAACCCGGCTATAAGGTGACCTACTTTCACCTTCATGGATGTTATCAGAATGAAATCACCTCACGAGGCGTTAATACCACCCCTAAATCTATGCTGCGAGGACAACGTCTTCTTCTTATGAAAAAACAAAAAGAAGAACAAGAAGAAGAAGAAGAAGAAGAAGAAGGTCAAGAGGAATCTATGGTTGGAAAGGGAACTGTTAATAATAGGCCAAGACCTTTACACTCGGAGGAGGAATTGCAACAACCGCTGCATCAAGTCCCACCACCTCGAAGTGGACATCTTTTACTTTCCTGTCCACCACGTCGAAGTCTTATTCTCCACGGTGGACTTGGTGTTGGCCCAGCCGATCTCCTTAATGATACCTGGGAATACTTAATTGATGAACAGCGATGGATACAACTTATTTGTCATGGTATTCCCTCTTCTATAGGAGAACCATTATGGGTTGGAAGAGGGAGAATGGGCGGAGGAAGTGATGGAATGCCTCCAAAGGCGTTTGGGCAAAGTGGAACTCTCTTTGCAGGTGGACGTATGTTGTTTGTGCATGGTGGTATCACACATGGGAGTAGGGGTGGAATAACTTCAGCATATCAACTTGATATTGAGCAGCGATTGTGGACGAAACTGCGACTAACAGTTTCACTTCCCGATATGTGGGGATCCGTTGCACAGACGGTGCGAATTCCCCCATGTAATAACTCCGGTGATAGTAGAAAGAGAGGTGGTGTATATTATTATACCCATAATTATTATGGGAATGAGGGTACTGAAAGAAGGGATAATAATAATAATAATAATAATAATAATAGTAGTAGTAGTAGTAATAGTAATAGTAGTAGTAAAATGAATAAGACAACATTTCTCAAGTTATCCCCATCTGTATCAAAGACAGAAGAATCAAAGGAGTGGTCTGAAGTTGTAGTTTTATTTGGTGGAATGCAAGAGGATAAATCGTTCAATAATACTTACTTTTTATATTTAACCGTCCCACCACCCTCGAGCGGTCGTACACAATATAGGGAGAAAGATCCCCGTATAGTAGAAGAGTTACCGTTTATCTCGCCAAGAGTTTTTCCTGGTAGGCGGCGACCCTGCTCAACTGTAAGTAAAGATTTCTTTGTTTTTATTTTTGGTGGTCGTGACAGTACTTCTTTCTATAATGATCTTTGGGTATTAAATGCATACACGCGACAGTGGATAATGGTGCGGAAGGAGACACCTCTACGGTATATGAGGGAATTCTTTCTGTATCCATATGATCCAGCGCCTGGTATACGTATTATGGAGTTTGTAAAGAATATACTGGAGATACGGCGTGACCGACTCCGGTGTAAATCCCCTACACCAAACCCACATACATGTAAGAAACACAATAGTTCGGCATTATGGCGTACAGGGGCAGTAATGGTGTGTTGTGGATCTGATATTATTGTACATGGTGGATTTACTTTAATTGGTAATGGAGTTTTAAGGACGCATAAAGATATTCATATTTATAACTATATGCGTCATGTTTGGCGAACAGGTCGTGAGGATACGAAATGTACAATGATGCCATTTCCACCTGATTACTTTAGTAAATCTGAGATCACATCATCTAATGTTCAATCAGAAAACTTTGAGCACCCGCAATCATTGCTAGATACTGTAAGTTCCCGCAACTGGGAACGAGTGAAGAATATCCCACCTTGTATACCAGATGGTCGTACCATGGCTGCCATGTGTGCAGATCCTATAGTTTCTGGATTTCGTTTTTTTCTCTTTGGTGGCCGCTCTGAGGATGAACCCAGTGGCGATTTGTATGATGTTCGTTTTAGTGTAGATTATCCCGCTCAATATGAATCTATCTGGACGTATGCAGACAACTTTCGCTTCTCAGATGATATTCGTATCACATCCCAACCTGACACTATGCAAAACCCCAACCGAAAAGCTGAAATAGGTGGTGGTGGTTTTTCTAGAATTTCTCCTTTTCCTCCACCTACTACTACTACTACTACTACTACTACTACTACTTCTGCTGCTTCTACTACCTCTACTACTACTACTACTACTACTATTGATACTACTGACTTCTTTTCCTTCTTGGATGATAATGCCTTCTTTGCACATGCGATTCCCCGCTCCCCTCCCCACCTGTACTCCCCACCACGACGTGAACATCGCCCCCGCACATCCTCCCCGGCGTGGAGATCGCATTGGGTGACGCCGGAGCACAACGTCCGCTGCGGGCGCCGCTCACTGTGGGAACAGACGGCGGATTGGCTGCGGGCGGTGCTGGCGGAGGAGGCCGCACTGCGACGCGCCAACGCCATCGTCCTCCCCGAAGAGTCTGAGAACAGAAACGTTGTGCGGGATGTGTTATTGCGGGAGTCCCACGACATTGACTGTCAGTTGCGGGCAAAAGTGGAACGGCGACTGCCACCGGTGCTGCGCAGCTTCGTCACACACACACCGCCATTCCTCTGGAGGTAGTCATACGTACACATGATGTATACTTGCATAAATGAATATATATATATATATACATATATATACGTATATGTTTATTTGTGGAAAGTAAAAAAAAAAAGAGAGAGAAGAAGAGGTAGGTGGGTGCAGAACAAAACAAAAAAAAAAAGTGATGTGTCTATGGCTGTAGTAGTTAATGAGTAAGGACAAAGTGAGGGAGTGAGTCAGTTAGTTAGTTAGTCGGCTAGTCAGTCAGTTGGGGGAGTGGGTGGATGAGAGAGAGAGAGAGAGAGAGAGAGAGAGAGAGAGAGAGTGATTGGGCTTTCGGATGAAAGTTGAGAAGAAATAAAGGCGGAATGGAGACAGATAAAAGAAAAAAGGAAAGTATTGCACTCCAAAGAGAAAAAAAAAAGCAAAAGAAGGAGAAAAAAAAAATTGAAATCAATGAAAGGTATTATTATTGCTTCTGTTATGGAGTGATGACAGAAGATAATAAAATGTTGATGAAAGCCCACTCCACCCCTTTAGAGAAGGGAAATAAAAGGAATAGTATCTATGTGTATTTATCTGATAAAATGGATAAAATGTTAAAATTGACTGGAACAGAGGGATACCGCATCTCGTCTTCAGCGCAGTGATCCTCACTAGTATTTTTGTGTTTGGTGGTGCTAGGCACTGCAGTAGACGCGAATGTTAGGAGGATGCGTAAAAAGGGGGAAAAAATAAAAGAAGTCTGGGAGTATATATTGTTTCTTTTTTTTTTTTTTATGTTCACCATAAGTAAGATATATATATATTTATTTATTTATATACTGGCCTTCTGTCTTCAGTTCTTATCGTCTTGTATGTGTGTGTTTCTGTTTTGGCTTCTTTTTTTTTTTTTTTATGATGTTTCATCTGTAGCTTCGCACACCACTATTATTTCTCTTTTCCCTATCTCTTCATTTTCTCTCTTTAGGAGTGTTCCTGGGCGAGTGGGTGTGGTGAGTAAGGCCGCGAAGGTAATGAAAACAGAAGAAAAAATAATAACTACATTAACAAGGAGTAGCAAAGGAAGGAAACCCTTCTGCAGATGAAAAGAAAAAAAAAAAAAGAGAAGCTGTGATATTTGTGTAGCCTTACTTTATCCTGTTTTTCATCCTTGTATATAAACAACTTTAACCTGAAGCGGTTATAAGCCTATCCACTTTTCTCATTGTCCCCCATCCCCTTACCTTACCTTTTTTTTTTCTTTTTTCTTATGTGTCATCACAGGCTTGTTGTTTTTCAATAGTGCTGGTATTCTTAATCATGGGTGAATGCATTAATGGATAATGGAAAAGAGGGGAAGAATGAGCGTGAAGAACGTCATCAAGAGTGAAAACAGAAAAGAAAAAAAATAATAAAGATTCGTATATATATATATATATATCCTAATAGTCGTTATATAAGAAACTATAAAACGTCAAGTATAAATGAACGGGGTGGGATCCAAAGCGGGGTAAAAGAAGAAGAATCCAATAACTTTATAAGGGAGTTTTTTTTTGTTGTTGTTTTTGTTATTCTTGTTGTTGCTTTTGTGCTTTTGAGCACTTGAATATTATATATTGAGTGAATCAGTCTTCTTTGTCCCTCTCTCTTTCTCTCTCCCCACTATACACTTTGCTTGTTTCTTCCCATGAGTTTATGCGCATCCAGTTTTTTTTTTTTTTGTCTTTCGTCTTCTTTTCCTTATGAAGTGGTATTCCATGTGTGGTATTAGTGAGGGAAGGTGGAGCTCCATCTGCACACATTAATTTGTTCTCTTATTCCTTGTTTGTACGATGTGTCGTCAATATTCTTTTTTTTTTTTCTTTGTTTGTTTGTTTTTGCACTGTATTTCCCAGTGACTCCATTTAATCCCCCTCTCCCCAATAATTAACGCTTAGAAAACGAGAAAAAGGAAAAAAAAAAAGAAGATTATCCACATTAGCGTCTACCTTATACTTCAAAAAACACATACACATACACACATACATATACCCTCTTATTGCCTTGAAAGCTCAATAATTGGGTTTGGTGTTATTCGTAGACATCATAAAATTATTCATACTATTTATTATCTAAAGCCGTATGAATACTGTGGGGCAGATGGTACCTATTCCACCGATCCCTGTTGATTACATTGAGTACGAGAATAAAATAAAGAATATACCGCTGCAACTGACACCACAACGCCCAACTCTAAGTAGTGCGGAATACGTTAAATATATGCGCTCCCAACAGATTCCTATAAGGTTTACACCGTGTTTAACAGCATACATGTGGAATCCATATGGGGTGGATATAAGAGAAGAAGATGTAGATCGTGCCAAGCAATGGTATAAGCGCACCATTGAGCCTGTTTACAAAATTCCTCAACAGCTAATGACCTTCATTGAGATGATACGAAAACAGCAGTTGTCAAGGAAAAAGAGAAGAAGAATTCAACGGAACTCTCGGCCGCAATTGGGTCAGCAACAGGAAGAGAGAATAACACAGCCACAGGAAGAAAGAGGAAGAGAACAACAACAACAAGAAAGGATAACAGAGCAACAACAACGAGAACAACAAGAAGAAGAAGAAAGGATAACAGAGCAGCAGCAACAAGAACAAGAACAACAGCAGCAAGCGGACATGCCACTGTTGTGGTGTGAAGAGGATCAACTATTTCTTTTTTCTTTGCAGGAATGCCAACAACAATACAATCCACAAGAATATATGTACTCCCCACCGCAAGATAACAATCAACTTCTGATAATGCCACAAGAGGGACAATACGAATTACAAATGGATCACAACAGCCATCACGGAAACGCACCACAACCGATAGCACACTCACAGCCACAAAATAGCATGTTCACATCCCAACATGATGTGTACCAGTACAATCTACAACTGTTCATGTATCACCAGCAACAAATTCATCCGATGCGCCATTGGTATCCCTATACATATCAGCAGTAAGAGTAAGAGAGAGGGTGGCACACCTCTCATGTGGTTCCTTCTACCGTTCCCGGTGGTTGTGTGTACTTCGTTTTTTTTTCTTTTTTGTAATTCCTCACAAGTCGTCTTCCCGGCGGTACAGTTACCGCAGTGTCGGGTTTATCTTGACAATTTTACAGTAACAAGTATGCATCTATAAATACATGTGCATG